GGTAGGGCGGCGTTTTGAAAACGCCGCCCGCACTTATAAGCTGCCCCAAACGGGCCCTAAGTGTAGGCTTCCCATTTTTTCCCCAAGCTTTTTAATAAAAGTGTGATCACTGTCGCCTTGAAGAGCCTCGTGGTACAATTGTGGAACATTGCAGGACTTACCGATAGCAAAAGCAGGCTCTGAACCTGGGTATTTGCATAGGAACGGAGCGTCGAGGCCATCTCCCTTACAAGATGGCAGTCACGGTCAAGAAAGAAACAGTGTGAAAGACTGCAAGGAAGCGAGGGCGTTAAATTGTTGGGCAGTGTCGAACAGAGATGACGCGAGCTAAGGGAGCTGCGGGCGACAGAGTCTGCGAAGCAGGCAGAAGAGCTGTCGGGCGCATACCAGGGAAGCAGCGTCGAGCAGAGACGACGCGAGCTAAGGGAGCTGCGAACAAACAGAAGTTGTGATCGAGACACCGAATAGTATCGAGACGACGAATAGTATCGAGACAACGAAGAGAACAATAGAGCGAAGCTGCGAAAGAGATGCCGACGCCGACGCAGACACTAGTATGAAGCGAGAGTCGACGATGCAAGGTCCTCTACCTTCGAGCGATAGAATCTATTGCGACCGAAATCGCCATTGGAAGCCCAAGCGGAGCTCTGCACGGCAATCGATGATATATATATATATATAATGAAAAGCCCAAGGGCTGATTTTATTAAAATAGAAAAAATAAATAAATGTTATATGAGAGAGCTCAATAGAGGCACACTACTCAAGTACAGTAATGCCCCAACAAAAAAGATACAGATAGACTCAAAAATATTTAAAACATGCAGAAAACAAATAGTAAGTTTAGTTTTGTCACTTCCTCTAATTTTATGAGCGGAGCCAGATAACAAACTTTGAAGAGTCGTGTCATTGTCAGGAGTAACCAAAGTATCATCCATTAAGTTTTCAAGTTGGAGTGTGCACCCAGCCTTCTTCTTCCGCCGGGAAGTGTAAACCTGTCATTCTTCATCTGATGATTGGCTCCTGTGATCCTCGATCTGATTAAATGTTAGAACCGCAGTATAAGGAAAAACAGTTATTGTCACCGCGATAGGTTCCAACGTATGTGAAGTGTGAATAATTACCTCTGCACCCTATGATTCCTGAACAGGAGTTGCGGGGCTATCCTGATTTTTTGTCCGAACACATTATCCCTTATAGTATGGTCAGGAGAAGGGTTCCCAAGGGCTGACAACAACTCTTGTATTGTGGTGGTTCCCTCCTCAGGTTGGTTATGGGGTGCATTAAATTTCCAAGTTGGAGTGTGCCCCCAGCCTTCTTCTGCCGAGAAGTGTAAACCTGTCATTCCACATCTGAAAAGTGACTCATGTGATCGTCGATCTGATTAGATATTAGAACCGCAGTAGAAGGAAAGGCAGTCGTTGTTACAGTAATAGGCTTCAGTGTATGTGAAATGTGAATTGTCATCTCTGCACCTGATGCTTCCTGAACAGGAGCTACGGGGCTATCTTGATTTTCGGTCCGAACACCTTATCCTTTAAAGTATGGTCAGGAGAAGGGTTCCTAAGGGCTGGCACCAACTTCTGTATCGTGGTGATTTCCTCCTCAGGTTGGTTATGGGGTGCACTAATAGTATATTCTTGTTTTTTATTATTAGTCTCATTTGTGGATGCAATCTGAAAAATTTCTCTTGCATGTGTCCAAACATCTTGCAGTGTTTGCAGTAGTAAGATTTTTCTTTCATAATGATTTTTTGTCAAAAACTATTGTGAGCAGATTCAAGCCAGACTTTTTCTACAGCTGGTAGTATAATATTCATTTCAATCAAAATCTTTGCAATATAGGGCCTCGAGAAGTGAACAGTATGCATGTCTACTTGCAAAGTTTTTCCAAGGACAGTGTCAATTGCATATAGGTTGTATAAGTGGTTGTATGAGTAAGCCTAAAAGAAGATCTCAAGGGCTAATATATTAAAGAGGAAAAGATGTTGATTGGTTGTATGAGTGGGCCTAAAAGAAGGCACCCAATCCACACGATACAACACTCAAAATCCAAAAAAAATAGATACATATAAGATTAAAAAAAAAATCAGAATCAAGCGCAAAAAAAGTTAGGGACGTCCCAATTTAGTCTGCATTTGTCTCTAGTTCTCGGAAGGCAGTCTGCTAAAAAATTGGTGAGGTGTGTACCATTGTCCGAAGTAACCAAAGTATCATCCATCAGGTTCCTGAGCTC